CGATCAAGTGAGTATCAATCTATCGGCCCTCAAGACTCTCGATTTCCAGCGCGACACGGTGCTGGAGCTTCCTGAACTACGGAAACATATCAAGCGCTCCAAGGCGAGAAGGGAAAGCCCCGCATCCGACGATCCCGAAGAAGTGCCCTTCCTTCCCGGCCACAGCTTTATGAGGAGCCAAAATCGGGATTATTTCCCCAGAACAGAGTTTACGCAGGATCCCGACTTTCTGGTTTACGAGTTGCTCGAATTTGAACAGTCGGTTGAGGAGTACCTGGGTACATATGGGTACCACAATGCATCTCCCCGAGCCCTATTGACCGAGGCTCCCCCGCCAACTACTGCCATCGGCGACGGTGTTTTCGACACCGACAGGCAGAACGCGAGTCTGTGCTACCACCCTCTTCAGCCTAACGAAGTCAGGCTTGTGCACCTAGTACGAGGCACTGATAGCATGGAGTGTCAGCTGAAATGTTATTCGTTCACCAGAGCTCCGAGTTATAAAGTATTGAGCTACCAAGAACTTCAAGACTGGGAATGTCAACATGTGGATGGCGACAGCCCATACTACACGCAACTTCAACTCGATGGCCATCCGATCAGGATCCCCCGGTGCATCTACGATGGACTTCTGGAGATATGGCGATCCAGCAACGACGACCTGCATATCTGGGTTGACGTGATCTGCGTCAACCAAGGTGACCTTGGCGAAAAGTCGGACCACGTAACTAGGTTGCCGATGATATACTCTTCCGCCTCCGCGGTACTGGTATGGCTAGGAGGAGGTGAGAAGACTTACTTAGCACCGACATGTACCATGAGTGTTGCTAATCTTCTCATGTGAATAGACCCGCACTGCCTCCCTGCCGAGACAAAAGCAATCAAGCTCATTGTTGACGTTGCATCCAAGCTGAACGCCAATGACGTGTCCGAAACTGGCGGCTTCTCATTCGATGCGAAGAGGATGCTGGAGCGCGCGTTGCAAGAAAGGCTCCTAGCTTTCGAGGAGGTGGACGAATACCTAGCACGGCTGGTATCGAAACCCTGGTTTTCTGACATGTCGGCGGTTGCGGCTGCGTCGCTGTCCGCGGAATCGCCAGTCCTCATGCTGGCCTCCCCACACAGTGTCCGGCTGGATGCCCTCCGCCTTTTTGCCATTGGTTGGCAGTCATCAGATCAGTTTCCGTCTCAGTCTCAGCTGAAAACCACCTTCGACCCTTTCGCTGGACTGAAGAATCTTGGTCAGTCCTGTCTCGACTCATCTGGTCCGTGCCACGATGAGATACCAGGCGGTCAAAGCCTGGAATGGTGGGCCAGGGAGCTGTGGCATGCCCTAAAGCGCACGCGACATTACAAGTGCCGCCGCCCGCAAGACAAGCTATATGGCGTCCTCGGTCTCATCAGCTCCGGACGTGGCATCCCCAATTCCCTCGCTCCGGATTACCGACTTGAGCACGGCGTCGTCTTCCGCAACTATGCAAAGTTCCTCTACGAGAACGGTAGCTTCTTGACCGCAATGCAGAACAGGGGTAGCCGGGAACTGGCCGCACCGTCCTGGGTCCCCGACTTCCGGCGGCTGAGCTTCGAAGACCCTACCCCCGCCACCCAGGCCAGATCGATAGCTTTCTCCGACGACTTGCGGACTATGACCACGTCAGGCGTGATTATCGGCGATGTGGCGGCTGCGTTCCAAAAGAACTCTCCTCCTCCTGCCAGCCCGGCCGAATCAAATCTGCCATGGGCCACACTAGCGGACCGTGCCGACCTCCTCAAAAGCCACCTTGATCGCGAGTGCGGCCCTGACTGGCGCAACATGCTCCTCTGGGCGCCGGAGCGCTTGTCCCGGCAGCCACGCTCCGCCAACCCGATCGACTTGATGCAGCAGCAAAGCCATGATGGTACTACCGACCAGGACCTCTTTCTCTCGTATAACGGGCTTGTGGGAATCTGCGACGGTGCTGTTGAAAATGACGTGGTTGTTATTCTTTGGGGCACGTGCCGGCCGCTGCTGCTGAGACGATCGGCGCGTGGTGGATTCAAGGTGGTTGGCTGCGCCGCTCTGTCGGGCAAGCACGGCAATCCCGAGACGTTTACGAAGAGGTTCTTCTCTCGAGGTCGGAAGATGGTTTTTACTTTAATTTAACTTGAAGTGAAGCTGGGGTATCAGCTAGAGTATTCAGGGATGTAACTTGCGTTTTTGGATCAACCTGGATAAAATGGTTCTAGTACAGTTTCCGGTTTTCTTTTACTCTAAGAAACAGCCTTATTGTCTTATGAGACGGGGTGCAGAAGCGGTGAGATTGTCGAGTTCCAGCTGACACGCCTTAATGTCAATCGGACCCAAACAAATTTTTCTCTCATTGAAGTTGACGAACGGCCTCTCCGTATCTCTTCTTATACTAGACAAAAACAGATCTACCTCTGTGGATATCGATCAAATCAGCCATTTAGAGAAGGGACCTCCCTGGCCATCTTGATTATAGGCTTGCGGGTAGGGTATGCCTACCCAATGGGAACTTTCCCAAGTTGGCCCCGGCCGGTCTTTACTACATTGGGCCGCATGGAGGAGGCGCCATCATGGCATGTATTGGAACATCGTTTATTTCCGCGCTTCTGGCGGCATGCAGCCATCGCATGACCCCGCAGAGTAGTACGTTCGGCATTTGAAGAGGGGCTTTGAGGCATACCCGCGAGAACAAGGTGAGAGTCATATCCTTACCAAGATCGAGACTAACTTTCCTCGTGGCTCTTCTTGAGTTCTCGTACCACCAATTCCCGACATCCCGGGCCACCCTTTTAACTTTTATTAATTTTAGACAACACTCCTCCGGCGTCTTGGATTGTGGGTGTTGTCGAAAGTTTGGTGTGCGCCGTCGTAATTACACCTGCAAGGCCTGGCAATTCGTATGCTAACCCAGACTCCTAGGTCCTGTTCTATCGCTGAATAATTTTATTATCGACCCCAACGCCACCAGCATCGTCGTATCGAGATCATAGGTCAAGCTCCGAGCACTGGCATTCCATGGGTCGACGTCGGGCTCACGACCGGGACCGTGCTCGCCAGTGGAGCGCAAGCATGGGATAACCACAAGACGGGGAACCAGAAGCGGAAGCTGATGAAAGAGGTAGAGCCTATAATCCGGGCCAACGCCAACGCCATAACGTCCTATCTTGGGCATCGGCGGATTATCGACCGCTGGAGCATATTTGTCTCTGGCCTAGGCGTGGCTGCTCAACTCCTGGAGGTGTGGCAAGGCTCCAGCTCTGGAGGAGATCGGCGCCCGGATTGCGGACAATGCTGAAGCGCAAACAGGGCTCATCGCACCAAAGAAGTTTGCAGAGCAGGTACGCTACATCCCCCTCTCCAACCCATTGCAGCCACAAGGATGGGTTGACCACGGTCTGCATGTTATCACTAGTCGATATGGGCTGCGTATTCGCTTTGGTTCTGAGAACGTCTAGGGAAGGTACTAGGGCGTAGCTCTGCACTAGATACCAGAGCAAGTTGTAGAACAGAGCATATATATATTTTTGGCGTATGAGCTCGCGCAAATCAAGGGTGGATACAACGGACAAGTGCCACTAGGTTGGCCGGGCGTAAATGACATTCGAACTCTCGCTTAGATAGCTATCCCACTGTTCATTGTTGCCCAACCACCTGTCGTCTTGTGGACAATAAGAGAAGGTCAAACCCTAACAAACGCCTAAGAAGGTCTTGGAATATCGAACGGCAACTCACAATCCCAAGCTTGACAAACTTAACACCATCTATCTCACCGTTCTCGACCACCTCATCTCTGGACACATCGTCAGGATAAAGGCGAAGTGCTATCCAAGTTCCAAAATGTCATTGGCCCTATTATACTCCATGCTCAGCCGCTATCAGTACGGTCAGAGCGCGACTTTTAGATATCGAACCCAAAGCCGTCCGCGCACTGCTAAACTCTCTCCACTCCGTTCTTGATATCCCCTCGGTAGAAGATGCCCCGGTCAGGCTCTTTCAACTGTCCTTCCGCAACTTCCTAGTTGAGGTATAAGGGGTGTTCTGTTGCATATCGAGCGCAATCATTTGTAACACGGCTGGCAGGGTCGCAGCTGGTGACTCTAATGCTAGCGCAACTTTATTGTAATTCCTTTACACATTCTGTCTTCACATATCCCTCATTTTATTCTTTTCTGTAGCGTAATGCAGCAAGTGGTCCGCGAGATTCCAATAGTTTATAACCGTCAATGGCCACGATACCAACAATGAAAAGCAGAATATGTTAGTAGGCACTGCCTTCCAGTGCCGCTCGATTGATCGCATGTGAATGTTGACTGCCGCTCGCCGTCTATTATTCCGGACGTACCTCGGCAAGGATGAGGCCCCCGGAGTATGCTTCTTTGGCCACCGCTGAACATGTTAGGACCCTGGGCTCTCTTAAATCATCGTCACGCTTAATTGGGGAGAGCACGTAACCACGCTAGAGCGAAGCCATGCCTCAATTGTAGTCTAACTCGCAACCAACTATATCGCAACTACAAGCATCAACAGGGCCCTCAAAAGCGGCCGGAAAGAGTGGGTCTGTTCCCTTTACTCCGCATGCCAAGCGCAGCTACACCCCGCAAACGCCGGGCCGTAAACGCGTTTGGTTGGCTAGGAAGAAATTCACAACGCGTTGCTGAAACTAATCACAAAGGCGATGTTAGAATCACACCAGGTAGTGCTAGGAAATGGAGTTGGGAAACGGAATCACAGAAACTGCGTGGTGCAAGACGTCTACCGTTATTAACACGTGACCCTTGTTTTGCTGAGTCAGCAACTTCCCCCAAAACAGAAAGTGGACTACCATGTCCAGAACACGTCTCCCTAATAACGACAGCTTCTGGTCTTCATTGTTGTTCAGAAGGTGCGTTGTTTTGTCGCTTATGGCGACTGTTTCTGGACCTTTCTGAGCAGACAGGGAGCTTTTAGGGGCAAAAAGAAAGGTGATGGGTCCAAAGCGGACCGACCATCAAAAAGGTCGTGCCCGGGTTCGGACCGGGGTTTCCGGAGGAAAATTGACATGTGTCAAAGTCCAAGGTGCTTACCACTACACTACACAACCTGTTCTCGTCGCTGACGACGGTTAATGGGAATCTCTTCATATAGGCCATGTACTACCCACATGATAGAGACGACTTTCCAAATATAAAGGAGAAGGCCCCCTATATCCGTCTGCTGTCGCCTCAACTCTGGACCATCAGGACCATCACGGCGACCATCCCGTCCTCTTGTACACAACCATCCCAACAGGTAAAATCTGGTCTTCGTCGTAGACGACCGTCTCCGGGTACTTTTGGTTGCGAGCGTCAGCCAAGCAGTCACCAATCAAACGGAAGGGAGAAGCTAAATATTCAAATAATAAATGGGCTCAGGGTGGTTTGGTGAGTAATAGAGCTGTGATCGGGTCGGTAAGAAAAAAAAAACAAGTAAAATCGATCAATAACATACCACGACTTCCCCGCCATCCGTATCCAGAACCGCCTCGACCTGTTGAGAGCAAGTCATTAGAAAAATACATGCCGCGTCGAGCTGCTTGGGGGACGGCGCATACACAGTTATACCTCCTGTCCGGCGACCGCCTGTTAGTCTCGGCACTGACCAGCATCTGCGGCCTGTCGCCCACGACCCTGCAGATAAGAACAACATGTCGGTTGGTGCGTATATGACTGTTCTTGGCGTAGATGTCGGCCTCTGCGACGCACACACATGTCAGACCAGACAACCCTCCCTCCCCGAAGAAAGGCTTACTAGAAGAGCACTCGGTGGAGTATATCCCCGGCCCGAACATGCCTGTCATCCTGGCCAGCCGGCGGTCGAACCCGTTCTTCAGGATGCCGCATATGTGGCACGCGGACTGGCCGCACGGATCGATGTCGCCGTCGCCGCCCTCGCCGAGGTAGCACGCACGCTGCGAGCCGTGGAAGCGTGTTACGAAGCTGCCGTCGCTTTTGGTTCTTCTGTTGTCCCACTCGTGTAAGCCATCGCTGAGAGTTCCGTTCGGAGAAATATGGGGGTTGGTGCGGCGGGAAGCACTTACAAAGCTTGGGCAAAACGTTGCGCGCGCACAGAATTCTTGAGATCGATGCGGGAGGCGAGGTAGATGTGGCGGACTTCGCTTGTCTTGTCGGGGTGCAGCCAGCTCTCGTTGAACTTTTTGGCGTCTGGGGTATTATGTTGTCAATCAGTGATGGGGTTGAGATTGCAAGGGGAGGAGGACAGACAGAAGTTGTAGTCTCGGCTGTTCGGATCCAGCTTCCTCATGGGCTTTGCACGGCAGTCAGTACGAAGAACGGAACAACCGAACAGGGGATGAGCCGAGCATACGAGGTCCATTGTCTTGGGCTTGGGTATGATGGTCTGAATGGGAGCATAATCATGTCTCGTGGTTCCTCGAGGGCGATAGGGAGGTGGCGGTTGGTTGGGAGGAAGATACAGCTGCGGCGGCGGCGGAGGGTAGTAGTTCTGAGCCCGACGACGACGACGACGACGAGAAGCTTGGGATGGAGGGCCAGGGTATTGTTGATCAGTGGAGACCGTGACCGTGTATGTCTCCCAGTCAAGGTTTTTTTTCGCGGACCGGGAAATGGAAGCACGAGAGGTTTCTGAGCCACCCGAACACCATGGGATCGACAGAGACTCTGAGATAGATGAAGAGTTGAGTAAGAGTGTTATGTTGGGTGCCAGCCTTGACAAGATAAATACCAGTCCGGATTCAACCTCACAACAAAAGTCGCCCAATCATCACGACCCACGCCGGTTTCACTTTCTGGGAGTCGCGTCTCCGTGGGGTAAAAAGCCTTACTCGTGCCCAACACCACACCCCCCAATAAGTTGTAATGGGGGTGGTTGGGTTGAGCACGAGTACCAGCTTCTCGAGAGCCTGCAGTCTCGTGTGGAAACGTAAAAAAAAGAAATATGTCCAGTCCGCCTCACTATTGAATCTGGTCGTTAGTGGGGGGGGGCCACTTATCCAGGCACCCTCTTCTCTTAACTACAACCCGACAACACATCAGATCATTAATCTCATCGGGAAGCCTATCTTATTATTAACACATTGGTCCCAGGCCAGTGCCACGACTGTACTCACCATTCCCCATTACCTACCCCATAGCCATACCCTGCAGGAAAAAAAGCACGCAGAAAAAAAACAAGATCTCGCAAACAGAGTCTCTACTCTTTACGCGGCGCAAAAATGAAGCTACTCGACGTCATCTTCTCACGAAATGAAAAGACCCACACCGCCGTCCGCAAGCGACGACACTGCACCGCGGGGACAATACACGCCTACCAGCGGCAACAGCAGGACGGCCCCCTTTCGGACCAACATTCCCACGCGTACTACCCCCCATCCCACCAAGCCAATCTGCGTCGCTCCCCGCGTCCATCGTCCAGCCGCAGCCGGCGCTCGCCAACAGCGCATACCTCCCCGCGTCCGTCGTCCAGCCGGAGCCGGCACTCCCCCCCGCCGGAGTACACCACCGACCCGTCCACACGCGACACGCTGCGCGACACAGCGCGGCAGACACAAACCATCCTCCCGCCCGTCCTCGCGCGGCTGGGCCGCACCTCCGACGCCCAGCAGTCCCTCAAGCACAACCTCTCCAACCCTTTCCGACTGGACCCGGCGACGTGCCCGTGCCTGCCGCACGGCGCACGCATCCGCGTCGTCAACGACGACACCCTCAACGCAGCCATCAGCCTTGCCCACCACAAGGAGGACCCGTTCCTCCCGCCGGCAATCGTCAACTTTGCCGACCGCGAGCGCCCGGGCGGCGGCTGGCTCAACGGCGCCGTGGCGCAGGAGGAGGCGTTGTGCTACCGCACCTCACTGTCCCTCAGCCTCGAGACGTCGCGCCGCACCGGCCACTACCCGCTCGCGGTGTATGAGGCCGAGGTGCTGTACGCGCCGTATGTTGTCGTCGTGCGCGGCGACCTCGCCAACGGGCATCGTTTGCTGACCGACAACCTGCCGGCGGTGAGCGTGCTGACCGTGCCCGCCATTCGTCGGCCACACTTGCGGCGCGTCGGGACGCTCGGTCACAGCCACAAATACGTGTTCCAGCGCGACGGCGACCGCAACCTGACCAAGGACAAGATGCGGCTGGTGCTGCGCACCGCGGCGACGTACCGCCACAGGAATTTGGTGCTGGGCGCGCTGGGATGCGGCGTTTACGCGAACCCGCCTGAGGACGTGGCGGCTTGCTGGCTCGAGGTGCTGCGCGAGAACGAGTTCGAGGGGAACTGGTGGCGGTCTGTGGTCTTTGCGGTGTACGATCCCAAGAATGAGGTGAATTTTGATGTTTTTAGTAGGGTTCTTGACGGGAAGTTGGTTTGAGACGGCAACTTTGTTGGCACGGCGTCTCGATGTACTGAAAATAGGACATACGTCCAGGTGGACGGACGATGGATTTTATAGGTGGCATCGGAAGAAATACCAAGGCTTAGGTTTCTTGTAGGAGGTAGATTTGGAGAGAACGCGCACACAGAAAGAGGCAGTTACCATGCTGTCGATTTGTAATGTGTGCTCTGGGGAGCCTTCACGCTTCCACACAGCCCGGTTGCAATATCGAGATCGCTACACTTGCTGTCGATTATTCCAAGATTTTGAGTGGGATGTTGGAGAGCATCAACAGCCTTGCCTTGACAGCAAAGAAGGGAAGCCTCGGGAGGTAGCCAAAGCCGCTTTCGGGAGGATATGGAATATGGATGGGATTGAGGGGCTGGACGTTAATGCGGCCCTGCTAGTACTAATAAATGCCCTCTTCTTCTCTTCTTTATACTATAATTACAGGGCTAGCCTTACCTCGTAGCTCTGGCCACGGGTCAGACTTGGCAAACTTCGGCCAGACAGTCGCCATGGCATGGCCCCCTAAGACCCCTGGTTTATTTCAGTTGTTACGGCAATCAGATTAAAGCTAGCTCAGAGATTCTCCTTCGTAGATCGTCAATTACAATACATACTGGCAAGCATTGTCAGAGTATCTTGAAATATTTGAGAAGACATCAATTATCTGAATGTCGGGTCCCATGACGTCGCCATCATCAAAGGGAATCAGATCGTCTGGATGCTAAGTTCGCTACTTGCCGTTTATCGTTGCCGGTATCGATCGGATTTTGTGGCCGTCGTCACGCTGCAGCAGCTCCCATATACCGCATCTGGTTTTACGTCCGCGCGAGGGCACCCATTCATGCAAGATGGTAAATTACTTGCTAGGGCGTATGTGCGATTCGAACATTAGAAGTAGGAAGAATGATGAGAAACAGAGGAAAGGAATTTTTGGGTTTGGGGGAGAGGGAGGACAGGTGCTGCGGGTATGAGCGAGCTAGCAACGATCCAAGAAGGGCATGGTTGGTTCGCACTCTTGTCGATAGCCCCAACAGGGATCCTAGCGCCCAAAAATGTGCCTCCATCGTGAATGCGCAAGAGGTTTCCCAGAGGAATTGATGGGTGTGAATAAAGTAGAATGGGTGACGCCTTCCGGCCTCCGTTGCTCTTCCGTTCGTAGGTCGTTACGGAGACGGTGGTGGTCCCAGAACGCGAACGGGATCTTGTTCGGCAAAACATCGGGCAAGCGACGAGCTAAGCCCGCTGAGTCAGCAATTGCAGCCGTGCAGTTGGGGCTTTTTGCTTGCTTTCTCTTGAACTCCACTAGGCTTTATTTAATAAACTATCCATACTTCTCCACAACAACCAATCGGAAGCCATTCCTCAAATCGGGTATGGTGTAGCGGTAACATCGTTGACTCTCACTTCTCAGGAGTGACTGCTCTGTCTTCTCAACAGCCCCGGGTTCGACTCCCGGTATCCGAGTAACGCATTTCTTTTTGTTTCTTATCGACAGATAAGATACTCCTTGAATAACTTCTGGTGGCCAACAATTTCTCATGGGTCTTTCTGTTTCTTCTTTTCCACTCTCACTCATTAGCTGCTCTATTTTACCGTCTGCCGGGTAATCATACCTAGGTAGGTAGGCAGCACCGCGGTGTACTCGTCAGGGCTAAAAGCTCAGTCGCCTTTTAACGTTGATATATTACTGATTAGGTAAGTAGTGTTGACCGATCCCTAACATCCGGAGTCGTTGTCCTATCAACTCCCCACTGCAACATCATGTGTCTGGTTGTAGTCAAAGAATAAACCCTGGAACGATTCATTTTGCCAGTCAACTTCAGCGCTTTCATTGTTGGGAATCACCAACAGTGACATCCTGAAACATATATCAAATATCCGGAATGGAAGACGCAATCGGCTGAGCAAGCGTGGCGGCGAACTCATCGGCATGGTGCTGATGCAGAAAAACCTTGATCGCATCATCAACGCGGCCGGTCTGCAGGCTCAGGAAGGACGATGAGCGTACCTTCTTGCTCCTGATCACCTTCTTCGTATCCGTCTCAACTACACTGCCAATCTTGCTGACTGTAGCCATCGCAATAGGTGCTGATCCCGTATCCAACCCCCGTTGTGCCGTTGCCTCCTCAGCCCTTCCACCCCCAGCACCAGTCAAGTTGAGATCCCGCCCGCACCACGCCCCATCCAAAACGTGACAAGCGCCCACAGTTTAATGAAACTATGCGCGTACGCAAACAGAACGTACACCGGAAAATGCCATACATCCCCCGGATGCCGTCAATAACACGGCCACAACTTCACCACCTTTGTGCCCAAAAATTCATCCAACCAGACACCAAATCGAATACCCAGTATACCAACTCGTCTGCACAAACAGATACACCAAGGCTGGATCAACCACCGCCGCAAAATTCTAAGCGATGCGAGGTAAACCGCACAAACACAATACGGCTGCTCCTGCCAGACCGATCCATCAGTAAACAGATTGCAGCTATTGCTGCGCCATGTGGTCCGCGCCCACCGCCGGCATTGCCCAAGGAATTTTTTGGCGACAGGGCTGTCCACGCCGACGGTGGTCTCGATTTCTGCGTCTCTGGAATGCTGTATTTTTATTCGCCAGCCGTGCTTCACCACAAAGCGAGTAACGAAGTTGTCGTCGTCTGGATTTAACGGGCCGAGCAAGCCAAACAGGAAGGTTTCGTTGACGTACCCTGGCAGAAAGTCTGGATGTTGGAGGATGCATGTTCGGATGGCGAAGGTTCGTGCTGAGACGACGAATACGCGGCCGTCTATGGCGTTCGTTGCGCGCGTCTCGAAATTGTGTCGTCCTAGATAGATCGCGCCGAGGGTGTTCCATATTCTGGGCCAGAGGGTTAGGCCGTCGAGGCGGCGGACGCGTTTGTTCGTGCCTACTAGACCGATTTTCGCTCCGTCCGGTTGGTTGAATGGACTCAGTATAGATGTGAGCAGGGAGGCTGACCAGAAGACGTGGTCATCTAGCAAGACTGTTATTGAGGTCCTGACGGAAGAAATAGCGTGGGCGACTTGGATCCGGTTGTTCGCTTTCGCTACCGTCTGGACGACAAATTCGACTGACGGAAACTGCTGCTGAACTGGCGTCACGATTTCTAGCGTTTTGGTGTAGTGAACATCGCCGGCTGTGACGATTTTGATTTTTGCGGGTGAGTTCTGCGCGCACGTGTGCAGACACTCGTTGAAGTCGATGCCGCTTGGGTCGACGGTCGGCAATATCACTGTGACGTCTCTCGATGGGTGGTAATAACCACTGTTGGAGGTGTGGTTTGGAGATGGGCGGTAGCAAACGAAGCCGATGATGTTGATGACGAGGCGTAGGTACCGCCAGACGAACAGGAGTAGGAATCTGTAGAGAGCTACATCTCCGGCTGTGATGAGGTCCAAGAGCGAGATGATGGCTGCGCAGGTTAAGGCAAGGCAAGCGATATTCAGCGCGGCGCGTATCATGTTGAGGCGCCTGGAAGATCTGGTGTTTGGCGGAGGGAGGTTCATTCTGCCTTGTGACGCTCAGAATTTTGGGTTTTCTGGGAATTGAAGCCATCGAGACTTCCGACTCTCCGAGAGCGAGCAAATATAAAAGTCAGCCACCACTACGTGGTGGGGTAGACGGATGATTTGCTCCATGGCGTGTTGAGTGAATGTGAATGGGATGAGATACATCTTGCACATGATGGCTTGGTGGAGGCGATGCGTCGTGGTTTACAGATCAAAGACCGCTCGGCGGTGCCTAGTGCGGATGGTGGTTACACTAATAAGATTAAATTTGGCCAACAGCTCTGTTTGTTGTCCAAGGCTTATATATATCAGGGACAAAGGCAGGGCTATTATGGTTATTTGTGCTATCTGACGTGAAGAGGTGGTCCTGACTCCTTCCTATAAGCGGCGGCTAGTTCTACGCCGAGTCACGTATCAGCCTCTCGTAATATAAAGCCACATATAACGTTATAAAATACGATAGATATCACAGCCGCAATGTGTCGCGCACGCCTCGACATACAAGCTTACCAGCTGTGCGAAAATAACTCTCCTCATGCCGTCAAAATATGGGTTAGAGTCGATTGGCATTCCGGATTGCCAACCGAAGACCCGTGCCCCAACCCAAAAGGTGATGACGGGTTGTACAATGCACGTATTTCGGAGTCTCCAGGGCTAGGTTCTTTACGAGATAAGGATGAGCTTTTCCCGAAGAGTTTTTCTCGGCAGCACCGACGCAAGAAGGGCACCAAGAGGCAGCCACGCGATGCTGGTGTCACGAAGCCAGGCAAGGGGAAATAAAGAGGTGTAGAAGGTTGTCAAGGGTGCGTATTATACTTGCTGCCAGTTCGTCCATTCCTCGCTCTATTTGCTAACATAATTACACTGGGATAGGAATGCGAGTATACTAGTGAGCATGCACAGCAGTGTGAATAGGCCCATAAGCCATCGTGGTTTTCTTGCCCGGGTTTGCTCGAAGGTCATTATCTGTTATGTTACGTTATTATTACTTTATCTAACGAAACGATATGCTGATTTGTTCTTACCATGTCCGACTTAAGATCATCCGCACTTTTGTAGCTGCCCATCCAACACTTGGTGATGACCTTCCCTAATAGGAGGTCATCTGCCGAGGGAAACTTCATAGCTTGATACAGGCGAATGACCTCTTGATCTTCAAGCCCAACGTAGGGGGGCTTCCGTGTAGATAATTCAAATAAGACCGACCCCATCACAAAGAGGTCATTCTGTAGCCCAGTCTCACGGCACGGGCACCAATCCCGGAAACGAACTTCCGCTCCCATGTTAGCCGGACGCTTCCCATTCAATAATGATCCTGCGAAATCGCAAAGCACAATATCTTCTCCAGAGGTAAGCAGTTAGGGGAACGGATAACTATGCTGGTAATTCCGTTCCCTAGGTGGCTGAATGAAGCCATTGCGACGATATTTGTTGGATTAGGCTTCCGTTGGGTGGTTGAGGCAATTGCTTTTTTCCTTTTTACGCACTTTACAAAGGTGATAAAGCAGATAGGCACGTGCAATGGTACGTGCAAAAGGTCGATCATCCCCCCAGAGACGATTGGTGTCGGTGAAACGGGAGCTACCGCCATGTGCTGTCAAGTTCACATTGATGACTAAGCGACAAGTCGCATCGAAAGTTGGAGCTGGGAATGGCACCCGCTGGCAAAAAAACAAAAGTGGGATGCGACGACAACTCTTTCGTTGCGACATTATCACCCTTTCCCGTGCAACGCACTACATTGGAAACGTAATCCGCGTGTCTTTTACTCATTATGATTGGCGTTGCGATGCTGAAAACGCGCCGCCGACCCAACTGACTGACACACTGCCTGCTGGTTGCGCCGATACGGTGCAACGTTCGCTAGAAGCTGGAGAATGTCTTCGACTTGTTAGTTGTGCTCAGGTCTTGCACCACGGTCGGCTCATTTTCTCGGACTGCTATGGCCAAACGACATCTGGATTCGATAAAACACCATGAGGAGCTTCCACTCTATTAGACATGCAAGTGTGCTTGTGCTGGAGTGACGATTGGCCAGGAGGCGCCGGACCTGAGAATTCTAGTTCCTGCGGCAGACTCCCTGGCCATTTTCAACAATGGTAACTTGGGTCTGTGTCATCATGCCCGGCCAGAGCGCACTCCAAGCTAGATCCTAACCAAAACGCAGCAAATCCACCGCCCGAGGATTGAGTTGCACTTCGGTCGCAGGAGCTTTACCGATTGGTTTAGACAATAATCACCGATGTTTCGTCTGCCTTTGTGTGGTGAGTGTTGTTAAAGATTACCGTGTAGTCGTTGAGGTCACACCAACAAGTAGTTCTACCGGGCGGTGGGCCGGAACTTGCCGTTCTCGTCGGAAATAATTCCGGGTGCACGTTCCTTCGGCAACGTCACTTCTGTCGCCAGGTCCGAACCCAAACAATCGTGTCAGCCGTCCTCTGCCCAGGTCATCAAACCCTTCGTAAAGTCCGACCACGCTAGCGACGCGACGCCTTTTCTACATCACAATGGACGACGAAACTTGCGAGACTACGAGAGGCTCCTGTGCAAGCTGAGCGCCGGGCCTCGGAAGCGGAGACTCGCGCCTTGGATGAGCAATGCCGACGCGAAGACGAACAACGCCGACGCGAAGAAGCCGAAGAGGTCGCAAGAGCATCACAGCTACAACCGCTGGAGCTTTATCTTAAGAGTTGTCACTCTCTCAGTCTTGCTATCCGGGTAGTTACCGACCGTTCTCTGACCACCCAAGGCGACACGACCAATCCCGTCGGCCGTATTTACCCCCAACGAATCGCCGAATGGCACGACTTTCCAGCAAGACAGGAGGAAATATGGGAACAGCTCTCCAACCCGTCCTTCGTCAATAACCCTGTGTTTCCATCCCCACACCAGATGGCCTATGTTGAGTCTTTGATCAGCCCCATCAGCAGCGA